ACAGTATCCTTCACAGAACAAAATTTTCTAATTTTGGTGAAACACAACTTATCAATATTTTCTTTTATGGATTGTCCTTCTGGTCATATCTAGAACTTTTTACCTAACCCAAGATCAAGAAGTTTTTTCCTATGTTTTCTTCTTAGTTTTAGGGTTTTACATTTTACGTTTATGTCTATTATCCATTTCGGTTTAATTTTTGTATACAGCTGCTTTAATTCTTGATTTTTCAAAACCATTGGTTGTTTTAATTATTTGGCTCTCTTTTCAAAAGATAATTATTGTGTTTTTATAAAACTAATACATGTTTATTATACAAGATACAAAGAAGAAAGCTAATATTTACTCCAAACTCTGCCATCCAGGAACAACCATCTCTAACTCTTGATGAACATAATTTCAGAAATCTCTGAGCTAGAAAAAAAAGGATAAATATGTGAATGGTAGTAGTTTTTAGTTTCATCGGGAATATTGCCTTCTTAAGACACACCAGTTATATATATCAAGTTTCCTTAATCTTCCTTATTTATCCTATTCTTCATAATCATGTTTATATTTTTGTTTTTATTTTATCTTTATTTGTGGTTATTTCCCTGTTTTGTGTATTTGTGCTTTTTTGCTTCTTTTTGAGTGGATTAACTAGTAATTTATCTATTTTATTTTACTCTTTCCATCAATTGAGCAGTTAATAAATAGTTTTTAATTCATTTCTATTTTTATTAAATTTTTCCTGCTTCTCTTAAGGTGATTTTGTTAATTTTTTCTAGTTTCTTAGTTGGATGCATAAGTCAATTATTTTAGTTGCTTCTTGTCTAATGTTTAACGTGCAACTGAGACAGGACTCACTGAATACAATGTGCTAACCTCCAACACATCACAGCATCCCTTGAAGTTTGGTTTCAGCCATGTGACTGGCGCTAGGCAATGTACTGTGAGTATAAGTGATATGTATTTTGTCTTTTTTTTTTTCTAAAAGATGACTGGTAAGGGGATCTTAACTCTTTTCTTGGTGTTGTCAGCACCACACTCTCCCAAGTGAGCTAAGCGGTCATCCCTATACAGGGATCTGAACCCGGAGCCTTGGTGTTATCAACACCACACTCTCCCAAGTGAGCCACAGGCCAACCCCTTGTATTTTGTCTTAATGAGATAATTAAGAGCCAGTGTGTTTTCTCCCTCTTCTTCCTTCCCCTTTTGCCATGGTCTTGTAGGCCGTGAGTTCCAGATGGCATAGCTACAAGATGAAAGATCTTCCATCACCCTGAATCCCTAATACTGTTTGAAACAGGCATGGAACGTGAACAAGAAATAACTTTTGTTGTATTAAACCACTGGAATTTTGTAGTTTGGCTGTGGTGCCAGCAATTAGTTACTTATCTTGTTTAATGATGTGTTTGAGGCTATGACTCTTCCTCTGAGTATAGCTTTAGACATCCAAAGATGTTGATATGCAATTAAAATAGTGCTTTGTTTGGTTGGTTTTCTCCTCCTCAGAGCTATATGTACTAGTTCCCCTTTGTTCATTCTCACAGTTCAGCATATCTGCTAATCACAGTTCTTGAAATCCCAGTCTGGACAGAATTTCAGGTCCTCCCACCACACTTAAGTTAGTCTACAAGTGCAGACTATGACTGCCTCCTAGGCCTGCTGCATTTATTCCTGACTTGCTTCTGCTCAAATGCCATGCTCCACCAGGTTGCCAATTCTTAGCTCCATCTCTCCTTCAAAAATCTGCTTCTCCTCCTTTGGTCTTGGCATTTGCAATCTATTTCTCTGGTTCCTGGCTTAAGGCTTTTCTATAGACTAGTTTGGATTTGGCTCACCCCCTTCAGATGGTTTTAGGCAGCTGGTGCCCTCTTTGGGCAGCTCAGAAAGGGGGTGTGGGGAAAGCCCTCAGGTTTCCATGCAGAGCCCCACACTCTCTCATTCCTCCTCCTCCTCATGCTCCTTCTGTTGAGATCATTTGCACATGCTGCACTGAGTGGATACTTGGGAGTCTAGGTGGTCTCAGCCCTCAATATGGCACAATGAAGGCTTTCCACAGCCCATTGGGAGGCCTGAGGGATGATGGAAACATAGCGCTGCCACTGCCACCACCATTTTTAGAGCTTCAGAACAATCTGTATTCTTGGGCCTTTTCCTTAAGAGGGAGGATGGGAATACATATGATGTATAATGTAAATAATATACACTGACAGGATGTGAATGAATAAAAGATGAGTAAATAAAAGCACAGGAATAAATAAGCCTCCTACCTTGGCCCTGCTCTGAGCAGTGATGGAAATAGGAAAAGTATCACAGCAGGACAGGGCAGCTGATGCTCCAGTGTTCCTGCTCACCATGAGGCTAGGTGGCCTACCTGCCTGCCCTCCACCCCCAGACCGGGAGCCCCTGTCTTCAGCAGATCCTACATTAGGAGCTTCCCTCTTTACACTGGGGCAGCCTGGTACACAGAAAAAGTAGGGGACAGGTACTAATTAGCATTGCATACTCAAGCATATCAGCATCCGGGAGCCCCTGTCTTCAGCAGATCCTACATTAGGAGCTTCCCTCTTTACACTGGGGCAGCCTGATACACAGAAAAAGTAGGGGACAGGTACTAATTAGCATTGCATACTCAAGCATATCAGCATCCCTCTCTCCTGCTAGCCTCCTCCCCTTCTATAAGTGAAGGGTTAGGCTAGGTATTCTCTAAGTTTCTCAGGAATATGCTTTCACAGTCCCTCTTATCAGGAGGGTCAGTGTGATGCACCCTATTTCTGAGCCTCATTTTTCTCTTCCATAAAGTAGGGATTCTGATGGGAGGTCTCAAAAGCTCTCCCCACTCTGATTTTCTGCTAGGTGGCTCTGACTCCCATGGCTTGCTCCAGGAGTTTGTAAGCAGGGGTGTCCCCCTACCCACGAGCTTCAGTGCAGCCCTGGAATGGGCCTGGTTCTCTGGACCTACAGCCTTGGGCAGACTGGGGGCAGCACATCCATGTAGCCTCCCCTCCAGACCTCTAACAGGCTGGATACAGTGGCCCCCTATTCCCTGGTCCATGAATGACAGGATACATGCATCATCATGTGCCCCATGTGCCCCAAAGCCCTCCTGCTACAGCCCTCAGCAACCGTGTGGTGAACCCCTGCTGTGTGCCTGCACTTCTCCGCTTGGGACCAAATCCACCCTTGGGGAGCAACTGCCTAAGATGGGGAGCTGGGGGAGAGGAACCCAGGATTCAATGGGATTGGCACCCTGAGGGGATGTGAGAGAAGGCTCGGAGGCCAGAAGAAGCAGGCAGGTGGGCAGAGAGGGAGGCTGGGGCACTTTCTGGCTGGGACTAGCAGGAGAGATGGGCTTTCCCAGCGACATGACTTCTACCTTGGACTCAAACCCAGAACAGCCTCTGGACCACTCCTCCATCCTCCCAGCAGATGGCAGTGTGCGTATGGGAACCAAGGCAACAGCTTCTGGGATCACCAGCAGACAGTTTTGCAGGCCCAGAGAGCAGGAAGGGAACCACTGTCTTTTTTGTCAAAGAGCTGGATGATCAGATAAGGGGTCATCTATTCTGCTGAAGAGTCACCCATTCCCTCATGAGTTGCTAAGGGGAGGCTTCAGGAGTGCCAGGACCAATGGTGGTGAATCCCTTCTCTCTTTCTGGGGGTGGGGGTTTTGGTCAACTCTGCCCTGTCCAGTGCTTAGGCTCCATGTGGGTCTAGGTGAGGGTCAGTATTGGCCTTGGGCCCTCAGGGAACCCCCACTGGAGAAGCCCACCCCTCTGTAGCCAGCTCTGTGGCTACAGCATTGTCCCCAACTCTCAGGTTAAAGCTGCTCCTGGGTAGCTCTCCCAAGTCCATTCCATTTAGTGTCCAGCAGCAGGGGTGGGTCATGTGGGCCCTGAATCTGTTTCCAGAAGTCCCTACAGCTCAGCCTCACCGATCCGGTCCCCTTCCCAAGGCAAAACTCCATATGTCCACCATGGGGCCCGGAGCAGCAGACATGTGGGCCCTGAATCTGTTTCCAGAAGTCCCTACAGCTCAGCCTCACTGATCCGGTCCCCTTCCCAAGGCAAAACTCCATATGTCCACCATGGGGCCCGGAGCAGCAGACAGCCCAGCTCTTGTTGTCCACCCCTGCCCCCCCAAGCCCGGCCTGGCCCCCAGCCAGAATTGTGAGCTCCCACAGATGCAGACTGGCCCCCTCCTGCTCAGGGATTCAAGATGCTTTGTTGGACTGAATCATCAGCGCTATTTAACGTGGAAGGAAAGCAGCAGACAGGACCCCAGACTCTGCAGCTGGCCTGGCCCGAGAAGAGGTGCTCTACATTCTGCTGTCCTCAGCATGGCCACCAAGCACTGCTTCTTTGGAAACTCCAGATGCCCCCTCTCCTTCAGCAAGAAATAGAAAGAGCCTGGGCTGTGGAATTCAGACACGGCTTCTAGTCTTCACTTCACCAGCTATCATCTATGGCTTGGGCAAATTATTTTTTCTTTGAGCTCCAGTCACCTCTTCTGTAGAATGAGAATTTTAATAGTACTACCTCATAAGGTTGTGGGAGCATTGGATGAGCCCCAGCAGATGGAAGCCACTCTGTTCTTGGAGGACATTGTCTGACAAATACTTTTAGAGGAAGGGAGAGGAAAGGGTGGCACACCAGGGGACTGGGTTCAAGGCTTGGCTGGGCTCAGACCCCTTATTCCAGGGCAGGTCTCAGGCCTGCTTAGGTCAAGCCTCTGGGGCCACAGCTGGAGAAAAAGGACAGCCTTCCACCTGCAGTGCCAGGGTGGGAAATAGAAGGCTGATCATGGCAGGTGTCCCATTTGAGTCATCATTTGGGACCTCTGGGGACACTGGCATCTTGTGGTATCTGGGTTCTGGTTCTGCCATTGGCTCTGAGCAGGGCTCTAGGCTCCAGGCTCTGGGCTTGGGCTGTGTTGATCCAGAGGGAATATTGAAAATTGTTTTATTCGAGGGAATCACAGGTGGGTTAAGGCTTGTTAAGTACCGGGCTTGGCACATGATGAATGATCAAAAAAATAATGAATGAATGAATGTTCACTATACAGTACTTCACTGACTGCGTTCTCCTAACAGGCCCTCTCTGCTGGTTGGGGACCTTTTCAAATGGAAAGGAAGCAGGAGGTAAGGGTTCCACTTCTCACACTTCCTACTTTCTCTTTTTGTCAGCCTCTGTGACTTGGGATACTTTCCTTTCTGAGTCTCTGTTTCCACATTTACAAATGGGACAGGGTGATCTCTATAGGGTCTTCCAGTTCTGGGACCACTGGATCCTAAAGGGAAAGGTTAGTGGGGCCTGAGAACATGGAGAATCCTTCCTGAAGTGGGAGAGAAGCCTTCATGAGTAGCAGGGCTCCCCAGATATGAGTACACTCTGGGTGTTGGAAGAGTATTTTCCAAGTTTAGGGAGGGAGGGAGGCATTGTGGACAGGATCAGCAGTGATAGTGGGGTCTGATGTTGGGGCTGTAGCTGCTTCCTGTTGGTGCATTTATCTTTGCCCTGCAGCCCCACGACCTGATGACTCTGGCGTCATTTCTCCTAAGTCTGTCCTACAAAGACCTGGCGAGGAAGTAGGGACCAAAGAGAAGAAGGTTCATAGATGGGCAGTGACGGGGTTTGCCTGTCTTTGGATCTGCAAAGCCTCAGGTCTTGGGGGATAAGCTTGTTTTACCCCAGAGTCATTAGTATACAAAGAACAGAGCATGACTCAGGTCAACCCAAGTAAAGGAGGCAAATAAACAGAGAATCTGTGTCTTTCTGAAACCCAAGGACAGGATCCTAATGGTGCAGGCTCTCAAGAGCCAGGGTGGAAGCTGGTTCAGGTCCATTGTAGCTACAGGACTTCAGTGGCAGGTGCTCACACTCCTCCCTGCGGTGTTGTCATTAACCTGATAGAGCCATGCTCTGTGTGTCTACTTGTCCTCCGCCAGCTACCACTGTTCTTCTCACAACCCTCTGTATGCTTTCTGTTTCCAGCTCCTTCCTCCTCATGTTTTTTCAATTTCAGGTTGCCATAACTCTCATAGCCCTTCAGGAATCATGACCCCATACTCTACTGTAAGGCCTCTCTAGATGCATCGTTTTACCTTCTATTCCTGCTACTAGCTGATTTTCTCCACATTTTATAATCTAGATTTTGAAAAACAGAAATATGATTTGCCATCTCTTGGTCAATACCATGTTCTGTCCAGTTACTTAGGACAATGAATCTCTTATCTCTTCTTCATTCCACCCTGTATCTGCTAGCTTTTGCTGCATAACAAACCAACTTTCTGTCAAATTAGTGGCTTAAAATAACAACCATTTATTATTGCTCACGAGTCCATGGACTGGCTGGTTGATTCTACTAATTGGAGCCTGGTTTTGTTGCATTAGACTAAGCTTCTTGTGTCTGCCTTCAGCTGGAAGCTCAGCTGGGGGCTAGATGGTGCCGGATGGTATCACTCACATGGCTGACAGGTCTGCTTCTGGAAATTGTCTGGATGTTGGTTGAGGGTACAGTGGCAACTGGGCTGTGTGTCTCTCACCAGTTAACAAGCCAGCCTGGACATGTTCCCATGGCAGCTCAAGGTTAAAAAAAAAGCAACTGGAAGCATGCAGGTCCTCTTTTTGTCCAGGCTCAGAATTTTCACAATGTCTTTTCTGCCATATTCTTTTGGCCAAGACACAGAAACCATCCCACATTCAAGGGATAGAAAAAAAGACTCTTGATGGGATATGTCCCAAGTGACATTGTGAAAGGGGAAATAGAGGAAGAATAACTTGTAGTTATTCAATCTACCACGCAACCACCAGCTCTGACATGATGTTCCACTGCAGGCAGCAAAGAGGGGAGCAGAGAGGGTACCTACGCATAGTCCAGGGGAGCTCTTGAGAGCAGAAACACACGGGGCTGCTCCTAAGCTTTGCACACAGGTCTAATATCCTTAGATGTGGGCTCAACTGGGTGTGGAGTGGGGTAAAGAAAATGTGGAGCTTCTTTTTCACTAAGTGCCCCTGCGTTTGCTCTCACAATTTACATAACATGAAATTCTCGTAGTTGCCAATGCCTCCCAGAAACTTGTGCCCCTTAAAATACTCTGTTAGCCATCATGGGGATAGGGGTGGGAGGCTCCAATATCTATGGGGAGGGCCCACTTAACACCCTGATCTCCCAGTTCCTCAAACTCCTTCCTCCATCTGCATGTGACTCCATTCCTTTTTGTCATATTACTTATGAACCTATAGGCACAACCTTGACCTTGTCCTTACCCAGACTGCTTTACCTATGAAGCTTTATTCTCTAGCATATCTTGTGACCAAAGCCTCATGGCTTTTGGATATTCACACTTTCCTTACCCCTACTTCTACTGTTCTTGTCCTTACTATGCCTGGCAACTCCTCAAGTCCTCCTTTTTCATGAAGTCTTTCAGTCTTCTCCTGGCTTTAGTTTCTCTCCATCCTTCCATTGATTCATTACATTCACCACCGTCTTGTGAACACACTCAACTCTATTGACCTGTGTTTCCCCACTGCCATTGCTAGTAAAATCCTAACCCTGTATCAGTCCAAGCATCCATCTTTCGAGTCCTGCACACGGGGAGTTGGGTAGTACTGGGCACAGTCACCTAGTCTCAAAAACCAGAATCCTACAAACTATGGTCTGCTTTCTGCCAGGCCCTCAACACTGCCCATCCATCCCTCTGTTGGTCCCCAGCATCTCTGTCTCCTGCCTTCCACATAAGCCATTTCAGAATTTATTTCCTCTCCTCTAACCTGCTGCTGCATGAACTTTGCCTTTTTCTAAAATGGGGCGCACCACCTGCCACTTCACTCATTATCAAAAAACCCTAAGGAATAGAAACCTTCATATGGAAACTCCTTTGATGCCCTTTTCTATCAATAACAAAATGCAACCTCTCCCTGACTGCTGACTCTGACTCTGAATTGTCCTCAAACTGCAGCTTTTCTTTCCTCTCCTAGGCAAGCCACTTCAAAGTTATGCCTACACAGATTATCTGTTCAGGTTTAGCCTAGAGGGGGACACAGCCGCATGGCTGATATAGAGGTCTGGGTGCCACGTGGGGCCTCCTATTCAAGGCAAGACAGGGGCAAGCTAAACCAGACCCCATTTTAGAAGAAGGCAGAGTTCATGCACTGGAAACACCCAGAACAAACTCAAAGTCTAAAAGGATAATGGCAGGATAAGAGTTTGGGTTGTGGGACAAGAGTTGAGTCACATGAGACAGAATCACAGGATAAGCAGATGAGAAAGGAACAAGGAAAAGTAGATCTAGGTGATTTCTCTGAGCAGCCTTGGACCATTCAGATAATGTTTATTGAACTTTGAGTGTCATATGACAAAGAAATAAGGGGTATAGATTGACTTCAATGTGCGGGAGGTGGAGGCCACCAAATCAGGTTTTCCCTGCATTCTTCCAGAAGAAATGAGGATGTTCCTGAGGATGTTCTACCTTCCTTCCTGCCCGTCCCTCTCCTTGACACCTGCCCTGATACCAAATCAGGTTTTCCCTGCATTCTTCCAGAAGAAATGAAGATGTTCCTGAGGATGTTCTACCTTCCTTCCTGCCCGTCCCTCTCCTTGACACCTGCCCTGAGCTGTCCATGGTATCAAGGCTCTGCCTTCCCTTTCTGGGTTGTGACACCAGACTGAGGGTGGGAGGGAAGAAGAGGGCAGAACTTGGGGATTGTGACAGATGTCTTCCACATCCAGGATGTCCTACAGGACAGTTCCTTGGCACACAGTAGGATCTCAGTTAATACTTGTTGAATGGATGTTAAATGACTCAGGACACTCTGGGCATGTCTGGAAGGTTTGGGGATTGTGACAGATGTCTTCCACATCCAGGATGTCCTACAGGACAGTTCCTTGGCACACAGTAGCATCACAGTTAATACTTGTTGAATGGATGTTAAATGACTCAGGACACTCTGGGCATGTCTGGAAGGTAATTTGTCCTTTCATTGCTTTTTTCCATCCAGGTGAGGCTGTTTGCACCCTGGCTTCATGAAGACTATGCTCTCTGAGCAGACCCCAAAGACCAGATGAGTTCTACCCTGTCATTACCACACAGGATCAACCATGGTAGAGCCAGAGTCTCTTCCCCTCTCTCCACCCCATCCCAGGAGATGGTGTGTTTTTATGGGAGGATTCTGGACTAAAAATTAAACACCAATGTCCTGGACCCTTCATCATCACTGACTTGTTGAGTGAACTTGAGAAGGTCACCTATCCCTGGGGCTTCAGTTTCCCCTGGGGATAACTATCTTTGCCTTTATAGAGTTATTACATGATTAAATGAGCTAATGAATTGAAAGAGCTTTGCAGATCATAAAACGTGGTGCATGGTGGTAAGACCGTGATGATAATGATACTGAGTGTGGCATCTAAGATAAGATAAGGTCTTAACCAGGCAAAATATGCAAGCTCTTTGAGGGCAGAGCATGTGGGTGATTCTCTGAAGCCCCACAGGACCCACTAAGTCATCACGTAGATACTGAGTAAGTAATTGAATAGAACTGAATTTCCTTCTTCGGGAGGTTTTAGGCCCAAGGAGGTGCTGTTCTCCCTCACCCGCTGTTCCCCAGGGGCCAGCTGCTCCTCCTTTTGCACCCATCCCCCATCCCTCCGAGCCTCAAGGAGAGAGCCTGGAATCTGAAGTCTCCAGTTTCACCAAGTGCCTCCCCTGTACTCCTGTCACCATGGCCTGTTGTTATTACCATGTGCAGTGTGGCTGACTGCCCGAAGGGAGGCAGATGCACAGTGCCAGCATCTGTGGATCAATCACTCCCTTTTGGAAACACTACTTAATGCAAAACAGAAAACAACAGTTATGCTAACTACAACCATTTCTTGTTATTGGAAGTTATTCAATAGGGCAGCTATAATTATTGTGCATCTATGTGTAATTTTATAGTTTTCAATTTCTTAGTTATGTTTGAACAAAAATTGATAACTGCATAAATTACAGTTCAACCCACTGATTCATACCATGAATGGGATCACGGGACATCCTCTGGAGCACCCACTAGTGCCCACATGTCTTTTCCTCCCTCCACAGCTGGCCATTGAGCATGTCCAACCTCAGTCCCCTAGGCACTGTTACAGACTTATTTTAAGGGAAGAGAATAAGCTGTAGATCTAGGTGGCTATGAGAGGGCACATTTGACCTGNGGACCATTCAGATAATGTTTATTGAACTTTGAGTGTCATATGACAAAGAAATAAGGGGTATAGATTGACTTCAATGTGCGGGAGGTGGAGGCTACCAAATCAGGTTTTCCCTGCATTCTTCCAGAAGAAATGAAGATGTTCCTGAGGATGTTCTACCTTCCTTCCTGCCCGTCCCTCTCCTTGACACCTGCCCTGAGCTGTCCATGGTATCAAGGCTCTGCCTTCCCTTTCTGGGTTGTGACACCAGACTGAGGGTGGGAGGGAAGAAGAGGGCAGAACCTGGGGATTGTGACAGATGTCTTCCACATCCAGGATGTCCTACAGGACAGTTCCTTGGCACACAGTAGGATCTCAGTTAATACTTGTTGAATGGATGTTAAATGACTCAGGACACTCTGGGCATGTCTGGAAGGTAATTTGTCCTTTCATTGCTTTTTTCCATCCAGGTGAGGCTGTTTGCACCCTGGCTTCATGAAGACTATGCTCTCTGAGCAGACCCCAAAGACCAGATGAGTTCTACCCTGTCATTACCACACAGGATCAACCATGGTAGAGCCAGAGTCTCTTCCCCTCTCTCCACCCCATCCCAGGAGATGGTGTGTTTTTATGGGAGGATTCTGGACTAAAAATTAAACACCAATGTCCTGGACCCTTCATCATCACTGACTTGTTGAGTGAACTTGAGAAGGTCACCTATCCCTGGGGCTTCAGTTTCCCCTGGGGATAACTATCTTTGCCTTTATAGAGTTATTACATGATTAAATGAGCTAATGAATTGAAAGAGCTTTGCAGATCATAAAACGTGGTGCATGGTGGTAAGACCGTGATGATAATGATACTGAGTGTGGCATCTAAGATAAGATAAGGTCTTAACCAGGCAAAATATGCAAGCTCTTTGAGGGCAGAGCATGTGGGTGATTCTCTGAAGCCCCACAGGACCCACTAAGTCATCACGTAGATACTGAGTAAGTAATTGAATAGAACTGAATTTCCTTCTTCGGGAGGTTTTAGGCCCAAGGAGGTGCTGTTCTCCCTCACCCGCTGTTCCCCAGGGGCCAGCTGCTCCTCCTTTTGCACCCATCCCCCATCCCTCCGAGCCTCAAGGAGAGAGCCTGGAATCTGAAGTCTCCAGTTTCACCAAGTGCCTCCCCTGTACTCCTGTCACCATGGCCTGTTGTTATTACCATGTGCAGTGTGGCTGACTGCCCGAAGGGAGGCAGATGCACAGTGCCAGCATCTGTGGATCAATCACTCCCTTTTGGAAACACTACTTAATGCAAAACAGAAAACAACAGTTATGCTAACTACAACCATTTCTTGTTATTGGAAGTTATTCAATAGGGCAGCTATAATTATTGTGCATCTATGTGTAATTTTATAGTTTTCAATTTCTTAGTTATGTTTGAACAAAAATTGATAACTGCATAAATTACAGTTCAACCCGCTGATTCATACCATGAATGGGATCACAGGGCATCCTCTGGAGCACCCACTAGTGCCCACATGCCTTTTCCTCCCTCCACAGCTGGCCATTGAGCATGTCCAACCTCAGTCCCCTAGGCACTGTTACAGACTGATTTTAAGGGAAGAGAATAAGCTGTAGATCTAGGTGGCTATGAGAGGGCACATTTGACCTGAGCTCAGAGAGCAGACCTGAGACTCAGAAAGAAAGGACTTCAAGTGCTCAGCAAGTGATGGACGCATCATGAGGACTCTCGGATGTTAGCAGACATTTTACAGCCTATTTGCAACTGGACTGGATGGGGCGGGGGTGGGGTGGGAGGGGGATTCAGGTCTGGGAAGGTTCTACTTCTCCCAACCTAACAGCAGTGGCTCATGGCATGAGGGTTCTGCTCTCCCTCTTCACCCCTCCTCTGTTCCTCCAAATGATCCCCCCCATCCTAGTGCTCTGCCTTGACAGCCATGTAGCTCCTGTATTTACCTCCTTTTTCCCTCTACGCTCCCCCAGCATGGCTGGCCCCCATATTTGACTCTGGGAATGAAGCTGGTGTGAGAGGTCAGATTGTAAGAAGAGTGTGGGGGGCCTCAGGCCAGGTATTCTGTGGCTCAGCAGTGTCCAGTCAGCCAGCTCCTGCACACCATTGGGATACTGGAGCCTCAAGCACCCCTGTGGCCAATCTTTTATTCACCTATTTATTTAATAAACATTAATTGAACACACAATATGTACCAGGTTCAGTTTAACCATGTTAACTGAAATATGTGAAGGCCTAGAGGAACATGTTGGTAAAAGGTAAAGTGTCAGGGCTGGATGCCTATGGAGTCAGAGTTTTTGGTCTTCAAAAGATGGCACCTGCCTCCCCCCCACATACTCTGTTTTTGGCGTGAATTATTTAATATCTCCATGCCTCATTTTTCTAAGTTGTAAAATGGAAAGAGTAATAACAATGGTAAGGATATGGGAAGGATTAAATGAGGTAATATTAGGTTGAATCATATGTAATTGCCACCATTCAGCCATTTTTGAACCACAAAAACACCAATGTCATATGGTTTAACCTGCCAAAGTTCTTAGCACAGTGCTTGGCACAGAACAAATTGCTCAGTAAACAGTACCTTTGCTTTTTGTTATTTAGTTGGTACAAGTCTAATGTTTTAGTCCGTTTTGTATTGCTATAACAGAAATACCTGAGACTGGGTAATTTATAAAGNCTTATGATTCTGGGACAGCTGCATCTGGCATGGGCCTCAGGCTGCTTCTGCTCATGGTGGGAAGTGGCAGGCAGCTGGCGGGTACAAGCAGATCACATGGTGAGAGGAAGCAAGAGAGAGAGAGAGGAGGTGCCAGATCCCTTTAACAATCAGCTCTCGTGGAACTAATAGAGTGAGAACTCACTCACTACCCCTCTTCCCCCAGGGAGAGCATTAATCCATTCATGAGGGATCTGCCCCCATGACTCAATCAGTTTCCAACACTGCCACATTGGAGATCAAATTTCCACATGAGTTTTGGAGAGGACAGCACATCCAAACTCCATCATCTAACAGTGAGTTCTCTCACCTTTACTGTTTGTCTAGTGCTAACTTTTGGCTAGGAAGCTCTTTCTAGCAGCACCAGAAAGGTTGTGACTCAAGGTTAACACACTCAATGGATTAGTTTTACTCAAGACTAGGGGGAAATCATGTCAGAGCAGGCAATAACTGACTATAGTTAAAAACTAGCCAAGGAGCTACCTAATTGTGTCTAGGAGTTGGCATTTCTTTAGGTCTTATCCAAAGTGGTCTTGTCATATCATTTAAACATAAAGTTAACTATTAATGCTAATTCATATTCTTTCATTTATTTTAAGTTTTATTTATAGGAAATCATACTGGAATGATAATTGTCTCTGTTCTTAATAACAGATAATGTGTCCATTAATCACAAATATACAGAAACAGGAGCTCAGTTGCCTCTGAGCTGAGGATGGTATAGTTCTCAGTCCTACAGGGACAGGAAGAGAGTGGTGGGTAGGATGAGAGCCTGTTTTCCAGAAAGCTTGAATCCATGAAGAACACAGGACCCTGCACAAAGCCCTCCTTCTTGCTGTATCTTCTGTTGAATGACCCACTCAGACAGCACTTTCACTGGAAATATCAAAAGGCCCTGCCCTTCCAGAAACCAGCCCACCCGACCCAGTGTCCAGAGCTCCTTTCATAGTAGCATTGTTCTCTGCTCCAGTGCACAGAGGTGAAGAGCTAGCTGGCATCCATCACCTTTTCCATGAGCACCTTTTGAGCAAGGCAGACTTCTCAGGGCTTTGTGGATTTTCTCAATGCTCCAGGGGCTCTCCTTGCATTCCCTCCAGTCAGGACCCAATTCCTGGTTTTCAGGGAAGTGAGGCAAGGCTGCTGGCTCTGCAGTCTCCTGGGGCCTTCTGACTTGGCCAAGCAAAAACCTCCCAACACCTGCTGCGGCGGCAAGCCCCTTCCTATTTTTCCTCATCTCCCTTCTCCAGCATGTTCCCAGTCCTTAGAAAGAGTAGGGCGGGGTCCCTGAATCCCCTTTGGCTTTTAAAAAAGAGGCTGTATTTTTATTTACAGAGTCAACATGAGGAGTGGCAAAGAAAAAGCAAAATATATTGTGGTTTGCCAGCTGCTGCCTTAGAGCAGGAAATTCCCGCCCCATTTGCTGCACAGGAGGCAGTGGAGGCTCAGAGAAGGGGGGCTCACCCAAGGTCACCCAGCAAGTCTCTTTTCCTTGCTCTAATAAGCTTTTCTTTCCACAGTATTGTACTAAGTGCCAAACTGTGGGCCACCCCCAAAGAAGAAGAACTAGAGAACCAATCTCAAAGTCTGCATCTCAGCCATGGAACCCTTTGTGTTACGAGGCCCTAGGGAAATGCAACCCCCCAAGTTTGAAGTGAGGAGGCCCCCTCTTGAAAAATCAGTTAAAATGCCCTCCTTTATGCACATGCCAACTTTGACTTCAAAAAGACTTTATTCCCAAGGATAAACAACCCCATGTTTGTGTAATATAATTAAGTGAAGGCATCTTTAAATGTCATACTAGCTTGTGCCCATTTCAAATTGTTATGCATCAACAGAACTTAACGAGATAGCCAAGCCTTCTCCTTGCTGTGAGGCTGAGATAAGCCACAGCACTGTGGGCCCTTTAATAGATTGCCAAAATAAAGCATTTTCTATGCAAATTATTCATGCAGTGGGACAG